TCATCTCCCTGCTCTCATCCCTAACAGGCAGCCATAATTACGGGGGCGAGGCCTTACCTATTTCCAGTGCACTCTATTTCACAGCTGATATTAATGATCTTCATGTACAGAGTCCTTTCCCCAAGGTGAAGGGAGGTGGGCCACTTTTAGTGGGAAGAACAGCTCTCCTTTCTTAGGTGGAACGATTCCAGAGAGTGTCAGGCAGCCTTGGAAAGAGCCACATTGACTCAACAAAGAAAAAAAAAAAGGCTGACGTACGGAACAGAACGTGAGTGCTCATTTTCCCTAAGACAGAAAAGCTGGTTTTCGAAAGTGGATTAGTAAAGTGGATGGTGAAATGCAACAGCCTCTATGTGAGCTGGCTTGGGGTGCAGTACTCCACGGCACAAAGCAAGAGCAGCTCACAGCTCGACTGGCAAGAAGATCGGTGGGGCTTAATTATTGCAATGGATTAGTAACCAAGGACCCAGCTTTGGAAAATGAATTGCAGATCTCAGTATGAAACATAAAGACAGTTCGAAATTCAATTCATACTGGTCCATAAATTAGAAAACCTTGGCTCAGAAAGGTTGTACGTAAGGGCTAAATTTCTTTTTCCCAAGAAAAATCCAAAATGAATGAAATCAAATTGGAATTTAAAGCTACTTTATAATTTGGATTTCTACAAATACACCGTGCCTACTTTTAAAAAGGAAGCATGCTTAATTGAGTTCTAACACTAAAAAACAAAAAACACACCCTCAAAATGCAAGAGAGAAAATACTTTAATTATTACTGTGGAAAGTAGTCACTTGACAATGCAATTGTATTCTGGAGTAGGAGGCTGTAATATACCAATTGCCTACATTCCCAAGTGAAATTTTAAAAATTAGTACTTATTTTTAGCCTAGCAGGCATCATTTGTTCCCATAAAATGGAATAGTGTCTCCTCAGTTACGGAAAGAAAAGCCCTGATGTCAACAATGCAAGGCAGGAAATACAGAGGAGACCAAGAAGTAAAAATATATACATAAAATACGACTATGTGTGTACAGATTCAGGTTTTTTCATTAGTGCACAAAATAATCTCAGTAATAAAGTAGACTCACTCTGATGTTTTTTCTAAAACATTATACTTCTTGCAATCTAGCTTGATAAGTCTCTCAAAGGATTTGAGAGAGAGGGAGAGACAGAGCAACATTCCAGTTGTTTATGGGGCCTAAGACCTGGTGAATTCAGTGGAGAATAACTTTGCTTCCGAAACGGGAAGATTCCTCATATCCAGTGTTTCTTAATTTTCAAATTACTTGAATTAAACAAATACAATGCAGGAATTGTACATTTTATAACAACCTTTACGTGACAACTCAGAGAATAATACTACTTATATTCCAGGTCCTACTTAGAAGTTCTGAGTCTAAATTCATAATTTTAAGTTAAGAAACAAAATGCCAATAAAGTATAAATTATTTCTAGTGCTGTATTTGAATTCATTCAAGTTTCTGTACTCCTTCTACACTGCCTAACCATAAACTGTGGGTAACACTGTAAGAATAAGCAGGGCAAGCTGAAGGTATTCCATTTAACAAACTGGGTTCTTTAACACAGACTGACGTATTTCCGTACATATTTATAAGGCTTAGTGGTTATTATTAGTCTGTAATTGCAGTTGTTCTAACACCTAATAAGCCATGGTTGGAAAAACAAAGGCAGGTTAATTTGTGATTTCCTCTACTCATTCAGAGGCAAATTAAGTGTCAAACAGCTAATACGAAACATATTTCATTTTATGAGATTTTAATTTAATTCTGCACCATATCGTTGATGCCTTAATATAGGGTGGTTTATCTAAAAAGAGGAGCAATTTATAAACCTCTTTCAATAGAATCTTTAATGATAGGATATGATAGCATAATTACAGAAGCGCCTGCTCTTCTTCTAAACAGAGATCTGTCGGCATTTCCATCAACAGAAATACTTGTTTTTAGGAGACTCATAATTTAGTTCTTAAAGCTGGCACCAGAAGAACAATTGGGTGTACAAAATGAGAATATCTCCAAATTTTGTCTTCTTATAATTAAAAATATTTATTGCAAAAGTTTAGTACACTTCACTTGATCTCATTTTCCATAAGACAATTATTTAGCAAACAGTTTGGAATTCAAGTTTTGGATGAAATGATTTTACTTTCCTAGGTAACTGATTCACCCCTCAGCAAATACATGCTTTCAAGATTTCTATAACCAAGCCACATTTGCCTCGATTAGCCTCCACTTTCAAGGTGATCACAGGAGTCTACTTCTGAGTCTACCTCAGAAGGTGCAAGAGCAACCCAGGGACTCACAACTAAGCAAGGGCAGAATAGAAACTCCCAGTATTTTTCATGCCCCCCCACTGCCTGGAATGCCCACTTTCAGCATTTGTTTAGAGCTCTGTGCTTTTCAGAGTGCTTACATGAACATTATTTCATTGAACTCTCCCTGTGATCTGAAGAGCTGGGTACAGCAGACAGCTTTATCTCCATGTAATGAAACCAACACATGCAAAGGTCAGTGGCCAGAGTCCACAGCACAAGTGAGTGGCAACACAAGAACAGGAATTCGAGCTCTCTGACTGCTCCTCCACCATCTCTCAGACTGGGCCAATGTGAGTGTCCACTGAGTATCTTTTATAAAGTGCCTGACCAAGTGCTGGGCACTGCCTACGAAACTAGCAGGGAGCAGTGACTGTTAACAGTAAATCACCAAGAGGAAAAGCATCACAATAAAGCTACACGCAAGGTGCTACAAAAACAGTCTCTGGGACGGCCCTTAAATTAGGGGCCTTGAGGATGAGTATAAGCAGGAGTTCACCATGCAGAGAGGGAAGGCCAATGAGACCAATGCAGAGAGAATGTCGGTCACAAATACACAGGTGCGTGACATGCTCCAGCTTTCTGGGGCCCACTTCATAAGCATAGTATCCACCCAGGGCCCTGCCAGGACACACCAAAACCAGGCAGTCCCAGGAGGCCACAAACCCATAAGCTCACCATTCTCTGCGCCCGCAGCAATGATATTCCCTCTTGGAATCTTCCAGGACTTCTCTTTTGAGGCTCAGGATTATCTACCGGCTTTATATTATCAATCTTTTTGATAACTATACATTTAGGCTGCTAGAGAACGACTTAGTCAGATGCTACTAAAGTATCCAAAGCTTGGCTAAAAAAAGCAGGAAGAACTAAAATCCAAAGAAAACCCAGCTCAACAGTACACCTGAAATGTGACTCCCCCAAATCTGCCTATGAGGATGGTCCAGAAGTGACCCATCTTGTCTTGTGACGTTATCACCATGGGCCAATGCAGGTCAGTAAGCAGGCCCTAGAACACACAGTGGGGGCTAGAGGAGGGCTTACTGTTATATTCTGCCATAGAACAGAGACTTGGGATTTTTATTGATATTTGCATTTATTTACAAGGCAAACTATAATGAATGCAGAGGAGTAATATAAACTCGTTTTTAAAAATTGCTCTAGAACATCATTTCTGAAAGAATGAAGAACTCCAAAATTCCATAGAAAATCTGACCTAAATTAACTACATCACAAAGGCTCCAGTCTGGGAGGAATTAGCGATCCATGTCTCCAAGGCCTATCTGGTCCTTGCATGCGCTGAACCATGGGGCAGATCCGCATCTGAGATCCATGTGGTCACATCTGTACCATAAAACCTCTGTATAACGGGGTGAATTACATGTCATGTTTCAGGCTGAACTAGGAATTTCCTTCCCTTTGTATAGGGAATTTTAAATTGGCCTCCTGGTTTCATTAGAGGGTATTTTTAGCAGGCTTCAGAACCCTGTAAATACTTACTTGTGTTCCAGTGAAAAGTCAAAGAATAAGTCACAAGTTTCTGCATTCTCTCTCTATAAATACCCACTTCTCCTTTAATGCTTATAGAAGTCTGCAACACAGATTTATTACTTACCTCCAGGCAAATCTGCTCTGAAATTACAATTCAGTAATGGGAGATGGATCCAAAAAACTGTTGGTAAAATATTATATGTGTACTTGGGCATGTAGTTAGGATTGTTAATATCAATTAATTCTGTTCACAGAGGAGGACTTGTTTTAAAACAACTTCATTTTTCTTTGGCATAATATGTAATTACACAGCTGTAACTAATAGCCATGGAGATGCAATCTACCATCTGAATAACCAGCATTATTCTTCAAAGTATTATTTGTGCTTTTCTAACTTCACTGTCTCCAAATAAAGGGTGATTATTAGATATGACTAAATGTATATATCAAGCCCGTTAGCAAGGGACAGCCCATCCCAGAGAGTGGCTCCCATTATTATAGTACATGACAGTTTCCTGGACAGTACTACAAAAGAATACTGTTTTACTTTGCAACTCCACCATCCTTTATTTCCTCCAAACCAAGTTAGATGGTATTTATTTCCAAGAGATTTCCTTTTTCCTTTTCTAATGTATGTTATCACTAGCATTCTTTCCTTTTATCTTTCTGTAAACCATGTGCTCGATCACATTTGCCATTTTGTTTGGGTGACATTCCCATCAATCAAGTGACTTTTGGTGTACTTACATAGGGGCTATGAAAATTTACCATAAAAATTTCATTACAATTCCTTGTGATCCCCAGAACAGGACTTTCACGTTACAGAAATTTGAACATAAAAAACTTCAAACCTAATGTCGACCAAATACATATCCTGAGTGGCAACTTTCCATTAGGCTTTTACTTTTTAATTTAGTATTTACAGCCCACAGAACACACGTCAGCAAAATATATAGGAAATACTTGTCGACTACCTGCTGTGACAGGCATTCCTCAGGAAACAGCAGGGATTTGCTTCAGTGAATCCACGAACAGATAGGCTTGCTATATTTCAAAAGTAAATCTTACACTTCTATCACATCTTCAAAGCCCAGTGGTCGTGCCATTAACAAAAAGTCCTGAGATGGTAAAAGCCAGTATCTCGTTCCATTTCATTAACAAGGAAAGTGTTAATACTTACATATGCAATGGAGGAATCGGAGACGGATCATAATGGTAACGGCCCTCATGATGTCTGGCATCAATTGGTACAGGAGGATGGAAGGCAGGGAAAAGATGAGGAGGGTCTGAAAAAAAGAGGGAGCCCAATCTATATCAAATGAACACTTTCAAATAGCATTCCGATTCACAAAGCAACACTGCTATACTATTATATCTTCACTACTTACACTTAATCTAAGAATTTGTAGAAGAACTCTTTAAGGTTAGTTAAGAGGTTCTGTGAGGTACTGCAGCAGTATGACTGAGTAAGTAGTGCCTGCACCTACCTGAGAAGGTAGAGCCTGGGATTGACTGCAGCTCAAACCCAGACAGGAAAGCAAGAAAGAGAGGAACAACACAGGCTCCCTATCTTGAAAGATAGGTTGACCAGAGGAGAAGGGCTGAAGGGAGCCACGAAGCCAAGGGGAACAGATTAGAACACACTTATTTGAAAAATAAAACTACATTGTCAAGTTAAGTTTTAAACAAAGACATTGTAATACAAATACTAGTTTCACTTTTCCCATGTTCACCATACTTTTAAGAGTGGAAAGGCTCTCTAGAATCTGTGGCTGATATATACACACATGCATATGTTTCATTTTTTAAAATTAAGTACATATTCCCCTCCTTCTTGGCCTGGGCTAGGCCTCCATAGTCCCCACACAAAGGCAGCAAATCTATGTCCTGTCCAGAGAAATACTGTGCAGCCTGCCTGGAAGAGATAAAGCTGACCCACTCACACTCAACAGCGAGACATCTAGAGCCAAACTCAGGGAATTCCTCCCAAGGTAGTGCTAACATTCATCTTGGACCCAGGTCCCCTCCTGCTTCCGCCTTTCCCCAGTCCAACGCTCTGGGTTCCTGAGCTGCTGGGTGTGTGCCCTTCCTTAAAAATAGCTCTCCCACCCCACTTATTCCTAGTAACTTACACCCATTGTCTCTGAAAATAAACTTTTATTTTAAAAAAATAGTGATTCACTGTAAAAACTGAAGAGAGTTTTAACAGATTTTATAATTAGAAGCATGACTGATGAGTCAAGGTTTTCCCAAGTTTCAAGAAGCAAAATGAAGGGGTCCAAAACCCGGAGGTTTGACTCCATCCATGGCTATGAGACTAAACACGACAGCAAATTCTTCAAATGTGACAGGTCCACACTGGTCATGCTGGGAGCCTGCCCAGAGCCAACGCTGCTGAGGATTGATATGTACACCAACAAGCCTCAGAACGGCTTCCAGTTATTTCGCCCTGGTGCTGAGGGTAGCAGTCTCTAAAGGCAATTCCAAAGGGGGCCCTCTCTCCGCAGACAGGTTTTGATTGACCACCTAAGAATGCACAGAGCATCCCCACGGGGTGCGGGAGGCTGCGAGGCCATGCCAAACACACAGATTAAGAGGTGGCTGCACCCCCTGAAGTCGGCTGCATCCCCTGAGGTCGGCAACACCACCGTCCCAACTGGGTAGAAGTGGATGATTATTAGATGTGTGTAACGTTGAATTCAGGTGGTTTTGATTTTCTTTCCTATCCATTTCTCTATTTTCCAAATTTTCTTCAACAAGCAACTACTAGAATATAAGCACAACAAACCTGTTTTTAAAGTTATAGTACATTACTTCCCTTGTTTTGATTTTGTCCCTGCTGCCTTCAAGAATCTAAGACTCTGTTTACGAAGAAAAAAATCCAGTAAGAGTAAAAAACGATGAGCATAGCATTCATAGAAGCTCTGTGGTCTACCAGGGAAGGACCTGAAGCTGTAATTCTATAGTTTACCACCAGATCTAGAATCTAGAAAACTTCCCAGAGGACTGTTTTACTGAAAATGTTAGTGACTCACTGTACTTTGTCACCGTCATTTCTGTGACCGTTGATTTGCTAAGTTTGAAAGTTTAAGTTGAATGTTTATTCAGCAATGTTGGCAGCTTCATTGCTGCACATAGCTCAGCCATCTTGACAATAAAAAGTCACTCTCTGTAGAGCCCAACATTCTATCTCATTTAACCATTTTCAAAGGAAATTGTGCATCCTTCTTAAAACAACATAAAATCAAGTGGGGTCATCTTTTGCACTCGTTTGAAAGCCTGACATATATTAGTGAATGTTTACTGATTTTAAACTTTTAAATAAACCCAAATCAATCAGATTCAAATCTACTTGAGGGTGGATGGCCATGAAATATGGGGGTGGCTCTTCTTTCTCTTCCACACCTTTCAGCTATCGCTGCCGATGCAAACATGCATGCCCCCTGCAGACTTCTTACTTAACACACATCATCTGCTCTTGGCAATCAGAGAAATAAACTTACTAGAATGGGGTGTGAATTCAGCATTCATAAAGTCTTACCCACCTCCTCAGGGCATCGCACATGCACCAGTTTATGCGGTTGTTTTGAGGGACACTGACAACTATGTCAGAGTTGGAAGGTATTCTCCTTTATTTCATGGCTCTTGGCTGTGTTCTGCATGATGAAATTCTCTCCACCAGATAAGTGGGTGTCAACCGTATCTGGTTTTCTCTATGTGGGTGCAACTACGAATTATGACAACGTACAAAACCACGTTTTTTGCTCAAAATATGTGAATTTATTCCACATTTAATGTATGCCTCATATACCCCCGAAGTAACAGTCACGATCTTTTATATGAGTGTTTATAATGAAGTTGCAGCGATTATGTGTATGGAGGGAAGACCAACCAGTTAATCCTATAAAATCAAAAGCGTGTACCCAACAAGTATAAAATTCTCTTCCTCAAGGAAAATCTACAATGCTATCACGCATATTTAAAAGACACTGCCATCTTCTCATTTTCAAGAAATTATTCTTTCAGGATTTAAATTTTCTCTCTCTCACCCTCTCTCCCGCTTTCAGAATAAAGGAGAAAATGACCTAGCACTGCAACAATAAATTTGAGAGGAAAACATAAAACACAATTACTGGGGTACTAAGTACTCATTTCTCACTGTTGAGTCCACAGTGTTCTGTGAATTTAAAAGTTAATTCTGACTGAAAGTAGGTGATGCGTCTTATAACACTGTTTTCACCAAATGTTTATTTATGTCCCAAGAAAATTTATGAATTCTGCATTGAAGAATTATGTTTAAATAAAGAACAGAAAATTAATGGATATGATCTGATTTGACCAAAGACATCTGGTTTCGGTTTAAGTGTCTCACTGTTTCTACGTTTCCCTTCTTGATTAAATTTAAAATAACTTCTCCTGGATTGCAGAAGTCTGTGTGGACAATTATACCTTGTGTTGGTTATTAGTAGAAATCACACTTTTTAAGCCACTTTCTGGGAAAATGCAATGGAACACCCCTCTTCCAATTCAAGACGTGCTCGACTATAGCTTAGCAGGATAAATGAAGAATGAAAAGCAGTATGGGCATGTCCTGTAACATACGTGGCATCCCATGATATTTATCCTAACACGTTTCTCGAAAAATGCTCCTGAATCCTCAAACGTTGACTACTTGCCTCGCTGGCGTCTAGGTTTGTCGTTTCTATGTGGCTCAGCGGCATATTCCATCACTGGCCCAAAAAGCTGTCCAAGAAAACCCACATGACAAGAACAGGCCCCTGTCGCCAGAGCCGCCATAATTACCCGGCTCGCGGTTTATTATTTACACATGAGCAGCGCAGCTGTGACGCATCATAACTCAAGCGTATGTGTAATAAGTTACCGGGCCGCAGCCATCTCCTGCCCTGCCCCTTGACAAAACACCACATGATGACTTCTCCAAAGTCAGGCGAAAACTGCTGAAGCAGAAGGAAGTGCCACGAAACCTGGCTACCTCCTATTTATCATACAATTTCCTGACTGATGGCTCCACAAACCAGCTGCTAAGTGCTGTGTACTCTACTGTCAGCAAACTAACGGGCTAAATGGAAGACAGGGAGAATAATGTGCAGAACTGGTGGAATCAATTTTACTGAGGGAATTAAAATTCTTCCAGGTGGGGGTGGGTCTGCGGAGCAGTGGTAAGCAGTCAACTGTACATGCTTATGGTTGCAAAGATGATTTATTACAGACCTGCGAGAGGTTTGACTATTGTGCCCGAGTCCTCTTACACTAAACAGAGATTTCAAGAGTGTGTACTCTCCCAGGCTTGAGTGGAATAGTCTTTAAACCCTATAACTATGTAATTGGCTTGACACATGTTTAAATTGAAATGCATAGCAAAAATATTTGTGCTGGGTAGAGTTGTCAGTATTCCATTTCACACTGGCTGTCATCATGTTGGGCATTAAGGATCTCATTAGAAATGAGAGGCATTGATTTTTAGGTCTCTTCACAACAGCCTGGGTTGATCATAAAACCTGTAGCCAGAGAATAACCGAGAAAGACACTTGGAGATTTATCTCTAGTTGCATCCTTCTCCCAAGAAATAGTTTTAGTATCCTCAGGCTATAAGATCTCTTGGATGCCATCCTGGGAAACTGTCTTTTTAAGGTTTGAAATTTACATACAAAAATTGCAGATTAAAAAAGAGAGATCAAAGTCTCTCAGTTAGTGCCCTGAAGGAGTAATTCACCAAATGATACTTGAATGGTCTGAAAATGCCCAGGAAACAGTGCAAGAGTAAACTGCCAAGTGCAGAAGTCCTCATGGGTGATTTAAATACTGAAGTCGTCTGTACACTGGCCTTGGAATTTACTCGACATCAGAGCTAGAGATGATTTTCTGTCATTAGAGTTAGTCCTGCCTGTAGGAATGGCCAGTCCCCTCAAACTCATTCAATCATCTGCCATCAGCAGAAATATCATTAAACAGCATCCTCTATACTACAACCAAAATCACCATCCAGCTTCTATAAAGTGAAATGTCTCAAGCGGGAGAGGGAGAGAGCGGGAGAGAGAGAATGAGAGATCCCACTGCCAAGAACTCACTCTAGTGAGATAGTAGAGAGGAAGCCCAGGCCTCATCACTGTTTCTTCCCACCATGGAGCTTCTCCAGTCATCATCCTCGTGCCTGCAAGACCTTTTTCCAGGGCTCAGTGCACTGTGGGAGGCCATTTGGACTGACTCCAAGACCCAGACTGACTTACTAACTCAGACAACCTCGCAATTCCCGCCTATGGAAGAC